TATGTTGGGGGTTTTTGTTTGTTTGTTTGTTTTGTTTCTTTTAACATTCCTTTATACCTAGTACTTAGAAAGGAAAATCTCTTACTGAAAAAAAAAAAATCCAATAACTTGGAGTACTTTTTTTAGGTGGAAGAGAGCTGTAGGATCAAGTCTTCTGAAATATTCCCCAGGTAAATTCCACCCTACCCAAACACCTGCTACTCATCTTTCATTGAGGTTGCCTAACTTTCTACCACTCCTGTTCCCATGGACAAAAACAACAACAAAGAGCGTCCTGAGCAAGCCCAGACTCTGCTTTTGTTACTTCTCCGCATATTCTCCCTACAGTGCCCTCGTTTCGTGACTCACACGTGGGCTCATGTAAACACGTGCTGTTTTTATTGCTCTATTTATTTTAACTTTCTCCTCCATTCAGGCCAGAACAAAGCCCTCCCCCTGAGTAATGTGGATCATAAGTCCAGGTCTTCTCCCTCTCATTCTGGGAAAGGAGAGGAAATTTTACCTCCTCCCCCACTGTACACAAATCTAGTGAGAGGAAAATGTCATTGCTTGTTGCTAAAAGAGCAGTGACATTCAGCAATGAAAGACAGACTCTTAGTCCCCAATCAGGTATGAACTAACTTCTTAGTGGACTTCAAGTCCTTGCTTTTTCCCACTGTCCTAGTGTCCCCACCCAGTCACAGGGTTCCCTTTAGGATTCAGTCTCTCCCTCTGGCTCCCCAAACTCATAATCCTCCTCCCTCTCCTTCCCCTCCATCTGGCAAAACTCTGCTTTGGGTCTTTTATCCATGTGAAGATGAGCATTACTAACAAGAACCTTAGCTTTGTCATTTCCCAGTAATATTTGCAATAAACAAGCCTCCAGATCATCCTTCAGCTTGGAGGAGAATCTGAACTCTGTGGTTTCAGGAAAGTCGTGAGTAAGGAAAGAGTAGCATCTGGGGAAACAGAGAGGGTGGTGCTGAGGTCTTCCAGATATCCTACACACATGATTCCACTGTCCTTGCTCAACTTTGAGTCTTTGAAAGACTATGGCTCTCTTACATCGATCTTTCTCCCTCTCTCTTCTCTCTTTCCCTCCTCTTCTTCCCTTCCACTCTCTCTAAAATTAATGGGGGGGGGGGGATCCTCAAGTGAGGATTAACAAAACAAAACAAAAACATGCAATCGCTGACTATATTTAGTCAGGGGCACTGACCTCCTTCCCCTTAGATTGTCAAATGAAAAACTGACAACAGCCAGTACAACAATAGCTGTCCAGTGTGAATGAATCAAAATTATACCTTTTTTTTTCCAGATTGGCAAAAAAAAATTTTTGGTGTGCCGCAGAATTTTAGTAACTAGTTTATGTGTGCCATGAGATGGAAAAAGGTTGAAAATCGCTGACTTACAAATGTAGAACCTAAATATAGTGCATATTTTAATAATAAGTTGTAGCAGATGGTTTACCAATAATAACCAACTCTCTCTTCTCACCTTTTCATAATAAGAAACAATGAATACACAATCTTTAAAATTGCTTTTCATCAACAAGAGGGAACAGAGTCAAAGGGGAAAATCATTGCTTTTTATGGACTGACTCTAGATTTCATGAGAGTAAAGTGAGATGTGACAACATATGTTCGAGCTGGCTACTGAAAAGGCTGGAAAACAATACAGGGAACTGTAGGAACTGGCAAGAAAAAAAAAATTTTTAATCTCAATTCTTTAAATTGCTAGCAGTATGTGACCAAGGTCTTACAAGGTATCCGCCTTCGGTTCTATGGCTCAGGTGTCTTAGCTCAGTGCCTCTGTCTCAGGGTCTCTCAACAGGCCTGCAGGCAAGGTGTCCATCAGGGACATGCAAGCAAGAAATTTAATTTTAGAGGGGAAAGCAATGGCCAGGCAATTAACTTGTGCATTTTTAAAAGCTAAACTGTATAGAGAAAAAGTAAATAATATTTGTAAATGAGTAATTTATCTCATTTATGAAATTGAAAAGATCATTAGGACTATTTTAAATGGATTTTCAGTACAGGGTTGATTGTAAATAAGTAACGCCCATAAGAGAGCAGAGGCATCGATTTTTCTGAGATGATTGTTATTCAAAATTATTTCAACTTGGCTTTAGGGTGCAGGGAAGGCAGCATGTCCATAGGAGCCTAAAGCTTCATCCTCTTTTAACAGCATTCCCGTGTTAAAAACCTCACTCACAGGATAAAGAGCAAGTACTCGGCCTATCCACTACCAGCCGTGGGCAAACTACGGCCCGCGGGCCGGATCCAGCCCGTTTGAAATGAATAAAACTAAAAAAAAAAAAAAAGACCGTACCCTTTTATGTAATGATGTTTACTTTGAATTTATATTAGTTCACACAAACACTCCATTCATGCTTTTGTTCCGGCCCTCCGGTCCAGTTTAAGAACCCATTGTGGCCCTCGAGTCAAAAAGTTTGCCCACCCCTGCACTAGGCCCTATAGTGTCTGGCCTCACTCTAACCATTCCCTCCTCTTCATTTTCTCATACTCCCGGACTCCCTCACTAGATCTCTATGCTCCCTTACCTGCCCCCCGGACCACCTACCAAGCTCCTTCCCACCTCTAACCTTTGCATAAGCACTAGTTGAGCCCTCTGTCTTGGCCACTCTCCCCACCTGACTACCCATTGTTCTGTTAGACACAATCATCCCTTGGATCTTATCTCAAACATCTCTTCCTCAGAGATATGCTCACACTGGATCAGGTTTCCCATAGCCTCTTATGCTCAGCTCTTTTCAATAATGTAATTGATAATTATATATATGTATATATTATTTAATTGCTACCTGTCTCCCCAACTGGACCAAGTTCTCTAAGCAGAGGGTCTCTCCCCGTCTGAGCACATTCTCCCACCTTCAAAATTATCCTGGAACTTGACCCCTGAAGAATGTACTCTCATGTACTGATCAGCTACCTGGCACCACCCCAGATCCTATCTAGATAATGAAGAGGGAGCAAGTATGGGTCGCCATGAATAAGATTTTTTAAACATTAGGTTGAGTTTGACATATACAGTTGTCTAGTAAGATAGCCTAAAAGCTCAAACAGTGATAACCTATAATTTTCTGTGGAAAATCCCAGTTGCTTATATAATTTCGCTCACTGAAATGATCAGTCCTTCTGTCGCTCATTTCCTTCCAGACCTAACAGCATGGGTCATTGCTCTTTCTCTGCAACCAGAGCTAGGAGTTAAAAAAAAAAATCATTGGCAGTCACTTCTCACCGCTCTTTCTCTGCAACCAGAGCTAGGAGTTAAAAAAAAATCATTGGCAGTCACTTCTCACAAGGTCCACCTACCAGGACAAGGTCTTTACACCCTACTTAGTTCCCACTCTGGCTTTGAGGGAAGATGGGAGGCTGACTTTTCTTTTCATAGGAAAGTAAAACAACTCCAGTTGTTTTATCTGCTCATTTGAATTATCCTGACCATTATTACAGAGAATTACGACCTGGTAACACAAAGACTTGCCATCTGAAGTTTTTTGCCATCTTAAGTGGAAATTATCCTTATCAGAAAGTGTTACTTATCAAAGTCAAGTTACTAAAAGTCGACAGCAGAGAACCATATGCTATTTAAGCTGGGACTCTGAGTGACCCATATTTTTTTTTAAGTTGGTGACTTGACATTCATTCCTTCACTCATTCACTCAGCAAGTATTGACTGATTACCATCTCTATGCCAGGCACTAGGATCATGAGGGTCTCCCCAAAGTCTGAGACATTGGAGCAAAAAACATCTTGCCTGACTCAAGGGAGAATCAGAGAAAAAAGAGACAGCTTCAGGTCAGAAGATAGAAATGATCTTCAAAGAAAGTTAACTGTGATTTGAATAGTAAATGTTATCAAAATGGACTTAGATGAGGTGGCACCATTAATCTCAGGAGTAAGCGAAACAACACAATGTTCAGCTTGTTCCCCACAGACACAACAATGTCAACGAAAGTCTGCAAAACCTTCCCCAGGATCATTTTCTTTCTAGAAGATTTACATGTGATTATAACTGTCCTATATGGGGGAGTGGGGGGAAGAAACAAAACCACAAATGACTACTCAAGGGTACACTTTGTGCTTCCCATTTGTTTCAGAGGTCCCCAAGACCACCCACATGCTCAGGGACTCACTAGAATGACTAACAGGACTCAACATACATTGTATCCACAGCTATGGCTCATAGCAATGAAAGGATATGCAACGGGATCAGCAAGGGAAGAGAGACACTGGTGATATCTGAAGAAATCCATTTACAGGCTGCCTATGCTCTCTCCCTCCCATGAGTAGACATGGCGTATGCTCCCTTCTCTACCAGCAAAAAGTGATACATGTGCAATGTTTCTGCCCAGGGCAGTCCATTAGAAACTCCACACCAAGGTTCTTATTGGAACTGGTTATGTGGCCATCCTCTGCCTGGCAAGGAGCAAAATTTCAGGCTCCCAGAATAAAGCAGGTGTTCACCATTAATTATAGTGTTTGCATAATCTAGGCATAGTGAATCATCTTTATCCATCAGAGAATGGAGAGAACATTCCACAACCCAGGATCCCAGGCGCCAGCCAAAAGCCAAACTTGCACCAGGCCCTTCTAGAGACAGCAGCCTCAGAGTCACTGTATTAACTCTTCTGCACGCAATTCTTTCCATCTTCTTTCAGAACATGTTGTAGAGAACAGAAAATGCATGTTTCTCTCTCTGTGTATACATGACTAAAGAAAGTGTGGTCAGCTTCAATTTTTAGATTGTTATCACTAGAGTTATTACTAGGAATTATCATTTTTGGATGAATGTTACATTAATAACATTGTTGCTGTCTAGTGTTAATGATTATAGTGGCAATATTATTAATTTCTATGATACATTGTGTATAATATCTCAATATAATATTCATATGAACCCGTTCCATGATCATGTTAAAATCATGACAACCTCAGCAGATTCTGTGTCTGGCTCCTTATTATAGTTTTCTTCTAATCTGTTGCCTTCTTTAACAGGACGGGCCTTCTGCAGCTTGAAGGAGCCAACCATGGATTTCAGGCGTGTGAAGGACTATTTCTCCTGGCTCTACTATCAATACCAAATCATCAGCTGCTGTGCTGTCTTGGAGCCCTGGGAGCAATCCATGTTCAATACCATCTTGCTAACCATTTTTGCTATGGTGGTGTATACTGCCTATGTTTTTATCCCAATCCACATCCGCCTGGCTTGGGAATTTTTCTCCAAAATCTGTGGCATTCACAGTACACTTTCGAGTTGATCTTGGTTGCATTCTGTGAATTGGCAGTGCACATGTATATGTTGCTTACAACTCCTTGTTTTAGGTGATTACTGTGTCTTCTTTCACTTTCTGATCTAAAAAGCTCTTACTTCTCTATGCACTCTTAGGTCCTGCCTGAAATTTGAGATAGATGCCTCTTTAGGTTCTTTTGTACATGTTACATTGTGCATCAGACCAAGATAATACAATGACCTTACCTCACGTACCATATTTTCTCAACTTAAATCTATGACTTTAGTTGTTGTTTTTTTAAATCAGGAAATTTCATATAAAATTTTTCTGGAAAGTAGGCTTATGAGACCTATCAGAATCGTGTTTAAAATATCTGCTCCCTTGATACCTATTCTATACTAAAGGATATATTTTTAAAAATGTGTTCATAGGCTACTGTCAAAAGTATCAGATCCTTGTTTACAATATAAAGATGTGAATAAATTATATGGGCCCCCTAAAGTATTGTTTTCTTTTACTCAACTACTGATAGCTAAAATCCTTTTACTTCAAGTGCAAAAGAATAGGCTGGAGGCAATTATCTGCTTTCAGACATGGTTCCTGAATCACTTCAAATGCCTCTAAAAGTCTGGCTTTATAACAATTTAAAATCAACAATGTTGATTTTAGATAACCCAGTAGGTATTATAATACAAAATAATTTTTACATATAAGAAACAAAATATAATCAGAGTAAATTCAGACATTCTGACTC